AGGGAGCATTTAGGCCAACAGCCTCTAAAGGTGATGATGGGAGCTCCTAAGGAGGGATTGGGATGATGGCTGTGTGAGGAGCCTACATCCAACACCACAAACTAGTGCAGCTGAACTCAAATCCTAATCCAAATAGGATCCTGGCTGCATCAGGAGGAGAGTTGCCAGGAGGGCAAGGAAGGGATTCTGCCCCTCTACTCAGCTCTGGTGAGGCCGCCTCTGGAGTATTAGGTGCAGTTCTGGGCTCCCCAGTATAAGAGGGACGTGGAGCTTCTACAGAGGGTCCAGTGGAGAGCGACAAAGATGATTAAGGGACTGGAGCATCTATCGTACAAGGAAGGACTAAGCGAGCTGAGCCTGTTTAGCCTGGAGAAGACTGAGAGGGGATCTGATCAATACGTATAAGTACCTGATGGGAGAATGTAAAGAGGAGAGGGTCAAACTCAGGAGTCAGGAGGGTGAAAACCAAGGCAAAACCCAGCCCCTTGCTCAGCAGGGGAGACCTACACGATGCTCCCATCTGCAGAGTGCTGGGAGCACAAGCGGCTGCGTAACACAGCCCTGGGCTCTTGTGCGGCTGAAACTGCCTCAGAGCAGGGCAGTCTCCTTCAGTGACAGCTGAAAGGAGGGACGAGCGACCTGCGTGCTGTGAGGGTGAGGCACCTGCGGCCGCTTCACAGCTGCTCTCTGCCAACGTCAATAAAGTCCAGCACAAGAGACCTGCCAGCATCTTTCTGGCACCATCTTCCTGGCACCATTTTCTCAGTTTTTAACGCACAGAGAGATGCTTTTGTGGTATCAAATTCAACTCAGTTCTGTCTTGAGGGGAAACTTCAGCATCAGAGAACGCCCTCTCTGCAACCTTTTACATTTTGCATTACAATTTGCTCAGCAAAACCACCTTTTTTAAAAAACAGAGCTTGACAATGATGCCCTTTGTCCTTCCTCTAGGCAGATGCTTTGACAGGTACACACTAGTAAATCAGTTTTCTGGTCTATTAATATATGTGTTTAAGTTGTGCAGCATAGCTGCCAAACTGTTCATAAAAGCTCCTGGAAGGCATTAGCTGAACGTATCAAGTTCCCTCCGAACTATCTGGGTGGATGTTAACTCCATGACTTGAGGCATGTCTTTACCTCCATGAAATCAGCACCTCCGACATCAAGAGGCAGCAGCAGAAAAGCAGCAGGCCCCCAAGAGAGAGTATCTCACATAGAGCAAGAAGAGCAATATGCATATTTTATAATTAAATATTAGAATTCACAATATATGCTTTTCTGTGGGAATTCTCCAAGTGTATATAATCCATTCATTTAGAAAACAAATGACCCAGTGTCCATAGCAAATCCAGCAGAACTGTTTAATTTCCAAACAGCAGGTAGGCCCTGCAGGTTTTGTTCTTCCAAACTGTCCTTATTCGAGATGCTGCTACGTACAGTGTTGTTGCTTAAAGTTTATTTTTTAGCCACATTTGGAATTGTATTTTGCTTGTGGCATAAAAGCATCAGAACATTTTCTCCCATTACTATTGTTAGCAGTGCTTTAATCATGACACTTTGAAACCTAAACCTGACTTTGAAAAAGGTCACCCTCAGAAATCTTGTGGAAAGTTGGCACCTGTGCAGCCCGTTACACACATTTACACAGAGCACAGAATGTTTTTAATTGAATTAGAAGCACATCACTCAACAGCCAGCCTCTGTTGGGGGCTCTGAATTGGCAGATCTGAAACCAGTTATCAGAAGTTTCCCCTGTTGCTTTGTGCCAAGTTAGTCTGTTAGAGTCCTACCTACGTCCAGCGAGACATGCAGACCTACAGGAGCTGGAACGACACGCGAGTCACTGCTGTCGCCTCCTTTTCTGCAAAGATCCAGACCCATATCCACATTTCTTCCAGATCAAGATATCAAGAGGCAAACGTTTCATCCTTCTCCCCACTACGATCTCCGAAAGAGCTCCGGGTGCCTCATTTTTCTCTTTCCTCTGCCAGCAGGCAGGAGCCTAGGACTGAGCTTAGGAGCAAGCCCAGGCTTTAGCCTCAGGGCTTGAGCTCCAGGTTACCCAGACCCGCTGCTCTGCCCAAGATGACCATTCTGGTAGAGAAGCGCTGCCCAGTTTCGAGACAGGAGTTTGCTTATGTGCCTGGCTGCAAGCTGCAGGGAAAACGCCGCATACTTCTTTAGACTAGATGTCATTAACACGTCCACGCCGGGGACTGGACAAAGGGGACAACGGGAAAAAAAAAATCAGTTTTGTAGCAAAATTTATTTTTTCCTCTGTGGATACAAATCCCAAACATCAACAAACAAATTCCAGTGGAAAAATACCAGTCATTAACAATGAAAACTTTTATTATTATTTAATAAATAGAACTTTGGCATTCAAAATTCTAGCTGTAAACCCTACTTTAAAAAAAATTACAAAAAGAGGCAAGAACAACAAGCCTAGAGCTGAGCCAGCCAGTGGCTCCTTCACTTTTTACAATGAACACGTTTTGATTAAGTCATGACAACTCTATTTACATATGAGGTATTCTGAGCGGTTCAAAAACTGAACCCAATTTACAAAACTACCAGTCTCTAGGGACTGATCCAGTACATATGTCAGCTGTGCTTTTAAAAGCTAGCTCTGAACACTCCTCCCTAATGAAATACTGTCATTAAAATACACAAAATCAACACACTATGATTTCAGTTTCCTGCTCACGCTTCATATTCAAAAAAAAGAAAAAAAAAAAAAAGCTGCACACTACAAGCAGCCTGGCATCGGAAGGTATACCTGGTACCTGTTTTAAGTACTTGCATTTCTGGATGTTACGCAGGAGTCCTTACTACAGAGGCCTATAAACAAAATATTGTCAAGCAAGGGGGAAACAAGGTGCAGTCACTGACGCTCTAGCAACTTCTCTGAAGTTCACAGGGAACAAACACTTGCTTGGGGCAAAAAAAGGCACAGAGGTTTGCAGCCGTGGGACTAATATTGCTAGGGAGCTACCGGAATCAACCACCTCCTTACATAACATCCACGGGCTTCTTCCCAGTCTAAGGACGTGAGGCCTTTTCCCCGCTCAGCACAGGGCCGGCTGTCCGGCCACAGGAGCCCATGAGGGCCGAGGAAGGGGAGACACCTTTCCAGGAGAGAAGGGATAAAGCCCCCTCGGCGCCTGCATGACCGTGGGCAGCTGTGAAAAGCCCAGGTGAGAGCGGGTGGTCACAGCAATGCCAGTAACGCCGCAGATGAGCGGGTGCCAAAGGAGCGCGGCTGGGCCGGGAGCGACACCGCGCGCACAGCCGCACCGCGTCACAGCCCACACACGGCATCACCTACAGCCGCCAGAGACAGTCGCTCTCCGAGTCGTCCTCTAAATACATTCTCGAGTACAGTAGTTAGTTACCGTGGGCATCCTCTAAAGGGTTACAAGGATTTCCTGCACGAACGGGCTGCAGGGCCCGCTCCTTAGGGGTTGCTCCGCAGCCCTTGAGATTGTCTAACAGCTACAGCAAAAAGTTGTCATGACTAAATCCAAGCAATTCCAATGCTAACATTCATTAACCAACTGTGTATTAAATATGCTGAATGAGGCCACACACACACGCTACTTTTTACCCAGTTAAACAATCATGCATATCCTAGACAAAGCTTATTCTGTTTAGAGGCATCTGTAAAACTGATGAGTATGGAGCAGTTGCTACTACTACTACAACAGGCCAAATTTTAAGAAATCCAATAAAATATTGTATCGCTGAATATATTCAGTTGGTAATCGGCATCTTTGGCTCATGCATCCATCATTTACCTCCTGACTCTAAACATGACTTAGGCAGATAAACTCAGGGTGCTTTAAAATCAAGTGCTTTAAAGTCAACATAAATATTACAGATTCTGTAATACAAATTTAAAAACGCAACAAGATTGTAGCATTGCAATCCAAGTATTACAACTGAAATGGGACCTCTTTCCTGAGGGAAGTTCAGCTAAGTTTTAAAGAGCGCACAAGCTCCTGAAGTGCTTTACAAATATTAACTTACTAATGTCAACTGTGCCATACGGTGTCACCATTCCAGGGGCAGCTGGAGGCACAGCAGTCAAATGAACAGCTTAATAAAACAAAGGGATGGAAAGGGACTCAAAATATTTCCTGTTCCTTTCTAATACTCTGTTGGACTTGCTATTTCCACCAAATTCAGAAGGATGTGTTTCTCGGTAAGTTTTCATAGACAGAACATTTCCATCAAGGAAATTATGTGCGGCTTCGGTATTTCCTTCCTGCCTAACACTGCCAGGCCACTGTCTGAAATCTGGTTGTTGAATTTCTGCTGCCAGATGAAGGTGCCAAGGGGAAGGTGCCGTGACCGGCACCTCCTACTGAACCAAGAACACGGAGCTGCATCCAAGGAACGAAACAGGCTCCTGCAAAACACCGACGCTCCAGTCCCAAAGGGCAGCGCTGCTCGTGGGGCAGGGAATAGGGAGGCTCCGCACAGGCAAAGAGCCTGGATTTCTGCCTCGCACAAGCACGAAGGGATATCCTCAACGCTACAGGAAGAGCAGTGCTCACACATTAAAAATAAACGGTCTCTTTTTCCCCCTCCTGAATGCAGACACCATGCAATTTCACTTGAAATTTCATTCAGACACTGGTTTTAGTGCTTGCAAGGAGGTGGTTCAGTCGTGTTTGTCTACCTGAAAATATCATGAAGCAATAATATAAATAGTTAACACTATTTTTCACAGATTAGTCCAGGTGTAGGTTCATGATGGAGAATACTGTCAAATAAATAAGTCCACATAGTTAAAACAAACAAACAAAACCGCTAATTTTTAAATCACTAAAATATAAAAACATTAACAGTAACTATTAAACACAGAACAGAAAGTGAAATACGGCCAAGTGAAACACCGGCAACTTTAGCATACATTACTTTGTGCTTTTTTTCCCCTATTAGTTCAGCTATCAGCAGAAAACTGAGATACTAACTCGCTTGTTACAAGAATTTCCTCTCTGTTTACTTAGTCCTAACCGCCTGGCTTCGTAATGGAGCTTTCTGCTGGTGCCAGCTCTGCAGGACAGCTGACCACTGAGCAGCACCTCAGCCCCTCCAGCCTGTCTCCAAACATCACAGGGAGTCGATGCCCATGGCTTTTCATGGCTTTTCCTTGGCTTAAGGGTGGTTTTGCTCCTTGTGGCCCTTTGTTTCCTCCAGGGAAGCGCTGCTGTGGGGCCCACGGCCGGCGCTGTGGGGCGCGCAGAGGGGCTGCTGCTCCCCACAGGAGCGAGGGGCACCGCGGAGCGACGCTCGCGCAATGCGCTGCGGATACGTTCCCACCTCCTTTTAAACTGTGATCTCTGCCCACAAACACAGAAGAAGTGAAAAATCCCAAATAACGTGGGAAACTTGCAGTCTTCGGATAACAGAGCATTCAACACTGGTCAGCGGAAACATTCTGCTCTAAGCCCGGATTTTGCCAGGTGTCGAACACCCATTTCACAGCTCACGTGAAAAGCAGTGGAGGCTGCTCCACCTCAGCAGAGGCCTTTGGGCACAGAGCCTTGCATAGACAGACTAGCCACAGCTTAAAATGCATACAAATAAGACAAAGAAGAGAAAGCAAGCAAGCATGGTATACATAAAGAAGAGAATGCATGGTATGAACACTAAGACACAATCTACTCCTTTTCTGATGGCCACATCCTATGCCATGATTTTTTCTCCTCCCAGCTTCTCTGGGGTTGTGACAGACTCCGTACTTCTGAAACTCCTTAAAGCAGGACGCAGATTTGTCTGTCCTGCATGTGATGAACTTCATGCACATAAAGAAGTTAAAACCTGCTTTCGCTTCAGCTACTGGTGCTGAAAGACAGCTTTCCTCTAGCAAGGTCTTTAGGCGATTTAAAGAATAACTACTGCTTGCAGTGCTCTAGGATTATTCCAATTGCAATTCCTAGCATGAAGTGCAGTCGCTGAAGCCTCTGGCTTCACCTCATACAGCTCTAGGTCCTTTGACCCTTTCCTCATATTTCAGGATACAGGTGATTCCTCCAATCAAGGTTTGAAATGTAAGGACAGAGTAGTGGCAAACTGGCGATTTCAACACTCTTTCCAGGAAACAGTGAAGCAATAAAATCAGTCCTAGGGACGGAAACAAAATGTCCCACTGAAACATTCTTCACAGCTTGTTCCTACATTCAGTAGTTTGCAGAGAGACTCCTTGTAGCTTGCACCACTCCATTCAAACGCTGCCTCTCCCCTCCCGCCCGGCTCCCCACACTCCCCACGGGCACAGGCCTCAGAGACGTGCACGAGCAGCAGCTCTGCTTGCAGTCCTCCAATATGGCTCCTTAATAGAAATGCAAAGACCTGTGACACAGCAACCTTTAATAAGTCATTTGCTGCCAGCTGAAATGCTGTCATTGAGTAATGCAGTTGTCCCCCATGTCCTGAGCGTAGCGGTCCGACATCATAGTCCTTAACTCATCGATGTCCTTGCGCAACTGACAGACATCCAAGAGCTTCTTCGAAAGGGTTTCGGTGCTGTGGTAGTTTTCATTCTCTTCAGCTGAACAGTTCAGGGCTGGGAAAAACAAACCCCACGGTTAAAGCCTGCTCTCACCAACCGCTCTCAGGGATTGCTTACACTGGGCAGCCCGTTTAAAATGCCTGGAGGGTGTATGACATTTTAATTTAGCTACATGAGGACAAACTACGCTTCAGCATGATGAAGAAACAAAGAAGTGAGGTACTGTGTGGACTGAAGCCAATGCAGAGCCTATCTTTGTTTCTCTGAAAGACGGGCTTTGCTGTTTGCACTAAGGTCTGGGCTTTAGGACAAGCTCTACATCTCTGGGCAAGCTTGAGAGCTGAGCAAGCCCGAAGGACCAGACGTGCATCAGCAGTAGTGAAAATGGAGCCTCTTGGCAGTGGGATTTAACATGTGCAGATCCAGACCCAAACAACCCCCCCAGATGTATACACTCCCCGACCTGAGCCCCAGGGCCTTCCTGGACATCCCCATGAGGCCCTCCTGGCACTTGGCAGGAAACAGCCCTTAGCCTTGAGGTGACCACGCATGTCTCGGCAGGGACAGGCAGCCAAGGGGGGCTCCAACAGGGCGAGCAGATGTATCCCAGAGGAGGCCACAGGAAGAACCAGCTCTATCCTTGGGACTGGCAAGTGCCCGCACGCCCCTACCCACCCAGCAGGCCAGTGTTTGAAGAGAGCCATCCAGGCAGCACCTCTGAGCTACGCTTAGCTCCGAGCTTAGCCTAGCCTAGCTTTCCCTCTCGCGCGCCGCGCCGGGAGGAGCGCCCCACTTACATCTGATTCCCAGCAGCAAGGAAAGGTTGGGCTCCTTGCCCTGCGCTCGCTGCGTGAGGATGCTGCAGAGTGCCTTCAGGTCGTGCAGGCAGTGGGACATCTCCTGGAAGAGCTGCTCGGCCACGGGCAGCCTCTCGGCACCCGGCTGCCGGGGCTGCTCCGCCTGCCGCACGCGCTCCCGCAGAGCCGCGTTCTCCTCCGCCAGGCCCCGGAGCTGCGCCGGGCACAGAGCAGAGGGCCGCACGTGAGCTCGGGAGCAGCACGCGCATCGCGGGCTCCCGTTCAAGCCACAACCAGCAGCAAGTAAAATTAATTTTACCATCAAATATGCATGATATTTAATGCTCCAGAGCATGATAATTAAAGCTAACAGATGAACTTTAACCCAACTGTCTATTCAATGAGACCATTATTTACTGACCTTAACACTAAAACGATACTTTCTGAGGTAGAAGTGCTATATCAACCAAGCATCTAGCATGATGAACATGTATTAATCCCATAAAACCCTTCCACGAGCTATCATAATTACAGCACCGCTTTGTAATTTTCCCCTGCTGGTTTGGTGTGGGCCTTTGAAGGGGTTTTACTTACTTCAAAGAGAGTTTTATTTAATCGCTCAATGTTCGTTTCTTTTTCTTCAAGTTCATCTGTCATCTTCTGAACTGCCAGCTTTTCTTGCAAAAGTTTCTCTTGCGTAGACTAAATCACAGGAAAACAGAGGCAAAGAGTTTAAATTTTCATGGTGTATGTTAGCACTGACACAAATTCAGCCTCAATAAATTGTTATTTATTTATTTATTTATTGTCTTTGCATTATTTCCTCATCTATTATTTTCGGTCATGTTCCACCCAGTAAGTATTCAGCTGGAGCAACAGCTAACATTACACTCTAAATACCACCAAACCCTTTAATTGAAGGGTGTCAGTTTGTAAACAAAAACACTCAGGCAAAACTTTAACAAGGCAGACATGCAGTCTAAAATAACCACGCATATGTTTATTCTAGTCACATAATTTCACTTAAAATAAGGACATAAGTGACAACTAAGCTCCATTTGTGTAACTACTGTTTCATAACTAAGATCTGTATTTTTTTGTATCCCTACTTTTCATGAATACTGTGTGGGGGATTCTATAACCTTTCCCAACACAGAATTGATCTGCTGAATTTGCTATACAACTGAGAAGAAAGTCCCTGACAGCTGATAGCAGAGCAGTGACTTCTGCTTAAAATCATTCATACACAAGATCCATCACAATGCTTGACATCTCTCTACTGCATTCAGCAACAATTGTAGGTGATTTATTTGTATTTTACAGTATAATTTCAGCAGAAAGAATGATTATTGTCAGTAATAAAGCTAACAGAATGTTTACAGGACTTGGTTGTATTTAAGTCTTGGAGCTTTCCCTGTTTGACTTCCAGACCGACCTCAAGCAGCAATAAACTGTCATCAGCTGCTGCCGATTCCCCTCTTCCAGACTTTGTGTTGCAACTCACTGAGTCCCCATATAGCTGTGCAAAGCCCAGCTATAAAACATTTTAACACCAGATACATTAGGTTTGGAAGTACCACACAGCTCACCTGAGGCACATGCTCTGAAAGAATCACAGTGCTCATCAATTTATTACTTTGAATAACATTATGGAACCGCTACACCTAAAGTCTCACATTCTTACCTTATTCCAATGTCATTTAACTTGTATTTAACTTTTTAGTACGATAACGATACTCCTATTTCTCACAGATATGGAATCTATTAAATTATATTCAGTGTTACAGCCTTAAGCATTGAATTGCAGCAGAGTTTGACTATTCCAGATTAAACAAGTGAACTGTATCTTATTCTTACCATGGATTTCTGATTTTCACCCCACAGAGTTGAAGCTCAGAAAGGATTATATATTTCCACTTGGATTTTCGGTGTGAATTCAGTCTGACCATATTTTACCTTATGTCAAAAGCATGCAGATTTATTTTGCTACTTGGCTTTTATAACTGAATATATACCTTTCAAGGTCATTTGACAAAATTCATGAAAAGGAGTATTCAACTACCAATATGAGTACTAGTGGCAATGAATCTCGATTACACAAATTCCTGATGCTTTATGCCACAGAGCTATGTTCAACTTTCATGCAGAGATAACAAAAACCCCTCCTTTACGGTGTCACTCAGAAATCTGCTGCTGTACTACCATAATACATCAAAAGTCCTCCACCACCCTAACTCAGCAGCACATTAATATGTAAAACCTGTTATGCAATTTCAATTACAAGATGCAAATTCAATCTTATCGTGCACAAAATACAGCTAGAGCACTAATGCCAAAGCTGCCAAGGCTGCCCGCTTTGGCACAATTTTGCTTCTAACCCTCCATACAGTGGAACTGGAGATGGTGCTTTGGGAGGTGGAGGTGAAGCAGCACTTCACAAACCAGCAGAATTTATTTTACAGCATGACCTTGTGTGGTACAAATATTTTTCTTGAATTCCTGCAGATAACCTAGAGACTGATCTTCCAAAGCTGAAAATTTGCAGGGAGATTTCTCTTTACTTTTTGAATAAAATGCTCCTGTAAGTTCAAGTCACTCCTTAGTACAAGATATGCTTGAGGTGCTGCATGTTCCTTCTGCAACATCATCTGAAGCAGGTTAGATGGTGTGTACATAGGTGTGCATGGCGTGTGTACGTATACACACATATAAAATAACGTATCAGCTTCTATAGACACATCCTACCAGCTCTATCTAAGAAGTGCTAGTGTTGACAGGAAGGCTGAGTATTGAAAAGGAAGACGGGGTAAACACTGAGTGAAGGTTTTAATGGCCTGGCCACACACCGGAGGTGTGAAACCTTCACAAACAATTCCCTAACACTCCCAGCGAAACACCACTAATGTGGCAAAAAAGTCATTATTTTTTCATACCCTTTGCAAAATTGGAAGACAAAGGTGTTAAAATCTAGGCACTTAATCTGGATGAAAAGGTTTATTTTCACGTGAGCAATAAAAATCACCGGGTCGAGCTCAGAAATCACTACTTGTTTTTCAACAACTTTCGTGCACTTGACACGCTTCTCAGCTCACCCAGAGCAACCACCTAGAAGGGAAGCGTCCAGACAATCTGTATCCTAAAGATAGGCTGCTGCAGGGAACACAACTCCCTGCTGGAGTGCAAGGAAGGGAAGGAAGAAACCGGGCCCTGTTCTGTGTCAAAGGAAACCTGTTGTGCCAGGAGAGGCCAGGAAACAGCTCTGCTTGACGCATTTCCTTTGTAGTGCTGGTAGGTGAGTATGATCTGCAGTGATGCTGAATAGTCTTTTAAAATTTTCTCATCAACAGTGGCTGCTGGGAAAAAAAAAATGGTCATACTGGATCAGACTGAGAGTCCATCTAGCTCAGTATCACCTGCCTGTGACAATAGCCAAAAAGAAAATATTTAGGGAGGAAGAGGAGTACAGACCCCCAAAAGACTTGCCTAGTTTCTTGGCATCTTTGAATTGTCATAGTTCTTCATGCATTTCTCCTTCATGAAGGAGTCCAGTAATGTCCTGATCACACAGTCCTTCTCTAGGGTGGGTAGGTGGTGGGGAAGAGGTTTACACAGTTTATAACTACGTCCCTTCCCCTGTGTATTCTCAGAATTACATTTACCACTAAATTCATATTTACTACTCCAAAAACATCCTCCAGGACATTCCAAATAATACGAACATACTCAGCCTATGAGTAGCATCATTTAAAAGTTACTACTGAAAGTGAAAATCAATGTTTATTTCCAAAAGACAGATCTATATATGCTACCCTAAGCTTCAAGCTCAGAAGCAGCAGTACCAAAACAGCTGTCTGTATAAATGCATACAAAATTGGCTAATGTTTTAAAAAAACCTCAATATAAACATGATGGAAAGCAAGAGATCACAAATTCAGGAAATAGGAAAAAAGTGAGAATGGAGGAGATATGTGTAGGCGAGCTGTATATATTTCAACACAAACAGTAACAGAGAAGAGAATCTCAGAAAGTCTATGGTGCTCAATTTGCTACTTTTAAAGTTGCATTATTAAAATTATAGCATGAGGCCAGAATCTCTTTGTTAGCAGGGTTCCAGTCTCAGAAGGGGTAGCCACCGGGACTGGTTGACCACTGTTTTGCTGCTTGCCCAAACCTGCAGTGCAACCTGCAGTGCAGGCAGCCAAAGTAGAAGCACTTTCTTCACCCTTTCCTCACCAAGGCGCAAACCTATAACTGTAATTTTGCTGTATTGCACAAAAGCAAGAAAATAAGAGACAAATGCTAGCCTTGTAGTAGTAGCATGTGGAAATCAAAATATATCGTATCTGACTTGGATAACGGCTGAACAACTCACTGGGTTCTACTACCAGTAGTTTCTTTTTCAAATGCTCAGCTTCTGCCAGCACAAGACATACCTTCTTCCCTACAACCTGTATAATGTTTCCTTTTCTCCACAACAAACACTGGTCACCGAGGTTCCTGTCAAGGATCAGGAGTTTGACGTGTTAATCCAATCCACAGAGCCAAGCTGACTCCTAGTAACCTCTGCTGTCTTGAGAAATCCTTGGCTCCAAGCGAGGCACCCAAGAACCACCCAGAGAGTTAAAGTACCTAAATGAGGAACTGTCAAGAAGCTGCTGGAGAGGGACCTCCCAAAGCTGTGTGAGAATAAGGATGCTGCGTGACACCATTCTTCCATTTTATTCTCAGCATCTGCAAAGTGCTAAACCATACCAATGTCAGTCACAAATACAAAAACCTGAACCTTTCCTGAACGTGCAGGAAAGTGGAAGTCAACTATAGACCATAAAATTAAGTTCTTGGCATTTCTAGCCTTACCTCCTACTTGCAGAGGTAAAAGGAGGTAATTCAAATTTAATAATGTAATCTTTCTGAACAGAATCATTTCTCAGAATAAATGTCAAAATATATGCTTTTCCTTACCTGCAAGTCTAAAATCAGCCCAGCTATCTGATTCTGTTGATTGTCTATGATCTGGAAAATAAAATGGAGTAAGTTAAAAGGTTTGAAGCTGAATGTCTTCAGCTGACTATCTTCAGCTTCCTTTTTAAATCGTTATATATATATATATATATATATATATATATGTATATATGTATGTAGCCATGAGTTTCAAATGGCCAATCTTTGAAAATGTAAGTGAAAATGACAAGACATATATTCACATAACTGGAAATTCATGGAAAATAGACGCACAGACCATGAACAGACAGGTATTCAAAAAAATCTGCATTGGCAACAAAAGTGAAATTCCTTAGTGAGACCTATTTCTAAAACAAAAAGGAAGAAATGCAGTTCTGAAGGCTGAAGATGCCACTAAAGGTCAGCTTGCAGACTAACCTTACTGGCTTTCTCATTCTTTTCCTTGAGACTTTGGTTCTCATCCTGCAGCTGCTTTGTGTCCAGCATGGGGAGGCGAATTCCATCTTCCAGGCATTTCTCCACCTTCTGCTGCAAGCTGTTAAGCAGGAAAGCAGGCAGTGAGGGTCCCGAGAGCAAGGCCCGGTGTGTCCTAGGGACAGACCAGCAGCCCCCACCACCTTCTGACAGGCACCACAGAAGGACCAGGAACAAAACCCAGCCTCACCATGGAGCAAACCAAGAGCAGAGCAAGGACATAAAACCCCATCCCGGTGCAGCTCCCAGTGAGGAGCTCAAAGAGCAACAGGTCCCAGCTGCTCCCAGGAGCTGCTCGGCTCGGACCAGGCCTCTCTCTGCACGTGCACCGGAGCTCAGGGAGACGCTGGCAGTCGGGAAGCCCCAGGAGAGAATGGAGGCCCCATCCTGGTTCCTCCAGGGCCACGGCAGCGCCAGGGCCAGCAGGAAGCCTGGCCCTATGGGACCCCCAAGCTCTCTGTGTAGCCCCAGCTCCTGGGGCACACAGAGGGGTGCAGGAGAAGAGTATTTCAGGCTGTGCAGCACTTACTATGGGATGTTTCAGGGAAGGAACAAAGGTGGAAGAGGAAGGGAACTAGGTGGGCTCGGGAAGAACAAACACGGAATAACAGAGGGCTATTTGGATAAAAGGTGTGAATTTGTATAAGCAGGGCTGGTCACTATGTTCATCTGGCCATCCCCTGCAGCTCATTAGTGCGATCTGGCCAATCTTCCCATCCATATTCCCCCTTCCTGCTTCATCTCCTGTGTGGGGACAAACACACTCCCCGCCATGCACACAGCGGCCTGAGCAGCCGCATCCCAGGCGCGTGGGGCCGCTCGGAGCCGCCTGCACCAGCGGCCTCGCAGCGCCCTCGCGTATTCCCCGTGCCCCCCGGGGCGAGCGCTGAGGGGGCATGTGCCCCCCGGCTGCAGCTGCCCCACACGCAGCCTCGACCTTCACGCCGTGCGGGCTCCCAGGCGCAGGCAGGGCTGCCGCCCGCGCACCGCCTCGCAAAACGAAAATCCAATTCGCCGGTGCTAATCCTGCGGCCTGATTTAGAAACCAGCGGCCGCGGCAAGTATTCGCGGGCTGCCAGAAAGGACCGAGTGATCCCTCCAGATTACAGAGGCATCAAGAGAAACGGCCGTTCGCCTGTAAGATGGAAACAATGTGCCCAGTGACTGGGCTGGCAAGGTGTCCCCAGCAGCCTCTCATCATGGAAACACTTTCGGGCTGCCCTGGCACGCACATGCACGCAGCTGAGCGACGCTGCCCTGCTGCAACGTCCCCATAAATTACAGCGATTCCCTCCCCGATCTGATTTCTTTTTTTTAATGAAGCCTTTATGTAATTCCCTTAATTTAACATACACCTTTTTAACGTCTATCTGTCCCCCCCACATCACTTTCTTCTTAATAACTATTCAAGTTCAAGGATAGCACACCAGCTGCAGTTACATCTCCCTGTAAATATCCCCCAGCCTCAGTGCAAAGGTAAGAATTTATCTTTGACCCATAATTTATGTCTGACCCTTCCCCGGTTTCTCCATCACCTGATGCCCAGGGGGCTTTTCTACAGTTTGTGGCGGGATTAGTTACTAAGTATCAGTGCTGACAACCTCTGTGCAGGGCTATGCACCGCATGTGTATTCCACCTGTGAATTTCTGGCCCTAGTTTGTGAGGCCGTCGCAGCGGATCCTGGACCGGGAGCGGCTGCGAAGAGTTTCTAGGCAGACTTTCCTCTGTGGTGCTACCTGCAACTCAATTCAAATGGCACCTTGCTGGATTTCTTGCTGCATCACTCTGCCATTTCGCACGGTAATGTTATTTAATGCCGTGAAAAATCATTAGCACTATAATAGATTAAGACTGAAAAAAGAAGCGAGGTCTCGCCATGAGCTGGGGAAGCAGAGCCGCCTCCCGGAGAGTTCAAGGGGCCGCTCGTACCTCTGCACGGTGGTGACCAGCTCCTTCTCCTTCTTCTTCTGACAGACCAGCTGCAGCTCCCTCTCTCTGCACTGCGATCGGGCCTCTCCGAGCTTCTTTTCTAACTCGCTCAGGGTTTCCTGGAGTTGCTTGTTCTTCTCCTCTAGAATTTGCAGCTAGCACAGATTATTGTTAGTCAGACACGACGTTACATCAATAGAAGAGCAAGCCATGGCTTTGCAGTTACCTTCTGCACAACCTTAGGCCCTTCACCTATGTGTGTATGTTTATCCCTGGTACACCTATACAGAGCTTTCTAAAACATTCAGATACTTCTCTTCCTGAACAGATAAGAAAGAAAATATATGCTCTGAAAGAGCAAAACATTTGGCAGCAGGCACTGCATGGCATATATTTATTTGTAAAATGGAAACCCAACTCTTTCCACCTTACCTGCTTAGTCTGACCTTCTATATCGTCCAGCGTGGGCAGGTCAGCCAGGTATTTTTCTAAGGTTTCGATCCGCCTCTGTTTCTCTTTGTTTTGCTCAGACTCCTTCTGGCATTTCTTTTTTAAGCTATTAATATATCGGTCTCTAGTTTTAAGCTTAAAAAAAAAAAAAAAAAAAGGAAGAATATATATTTTATGGTTGCAATGGAAAATAAACTCGCTTTGCAGTCAGAGGCTGGTCACTCTGCAGCAACTGCACTCACAGCTGCACGTAAAAGTTGGTTATTGCAGAAAATAAAACCAAGGAATGATTCACTCTGCTTTATCTTAGCAGCTCCAAGCCACAGACCTGCACTGGGTCAGGCTCAAACCACAGTTCTGTCACTTCTGCTGAGTGCAGCACGTGTGAGAGCAGCCTTGGGAACTGAAAATATGCCAATTCCATGCCTAAAACATATGTAATTTTTCAAGAGTGTGGTTATTCATATGCAGCAAATGATCAGGGAATATCTCAGTCCAACCTCTTCCCCTGGCCTAACCAACAACATGAAAACACGGAGCCGTGAGAGCTTCACCCGACAGGAACCGCTGCCAAAAATCTGACCTTGCTGCCATCTGACACTCACATCAGAGGGCAGCACAGTGGAAATGTTCCCTTCTTGAACCAGCTGCCCTACAAGCATCTTAGCTGTGCACCAGCTTGCAGAGGAGATTTGCTATATTATATTATAAGCCCGTGACAACTGATCACAAAACACATTTGCATCCCTAGTAGTTACCTGCTTTATTATCTAGGACTGAAAAAGGTGAAGGGAGGCAGAAGGGAAATATATTCCAGTAACAATCTGATTTAATGGAAACCTGTATTTCTGTTTCTTCAAGCAACACGTAATAATTCACAGATAACAAATACTTGTCACCAGAGTAAATGTGAAATGTATTTTTATTTTGGTTGCTGGAGACGTGTATCTCACTGAGAAATGAATGCCTGGCACTGTCAGCATCAGAGCACAGTGATGGAGACTGCAGCAAGGCTTGAATTGATGATACCTGAAAAGGTTTGCCAGAAACAGCCCTCTGCACAGGCCAGGAAACTCAGGGCTGCCAAAACACTGGAAATCTCTGTATCTTCTATCTGGTCCTCAAAAGCTAACAAAGCTTTCAGGCAGCTCTAAAATCTTTCTGGTTAGACAAAGTTCTACTAAAACCCTCACCCCTGGAGGCAGTCAATGTTTTGCCACAGCACATCCTTCAGAAGCATTTGCTTCCCATTCCTGACAGAAGTCTTAAGAGAACGACATAAATAGAGGCACATGGGCCATGGGCTGCAGCACAGGAATTCCCAGGAATCTCATCCCAATGCTCCTTGAAGCCCTTCCCTCTGCTTCGCATGTATGGCTGAGGAGGGTGAGAGGGCATGTCCTCTCCCTTCTCACACCTCCACCACAGCTGTTTGTTCATTCCCTCTTGCTCGCCCTACTGAGAGGAAGGAAAGCGTCTCATGGGCCAAAAGCGAAGGTCTGCACGCTGGGTTAAGTGCTGCGTGCTCAAAACTGCAGGACAGGACAGGGCAGCGCTGCTGGCAAACATGGGGCAGCCGGAGAATTAAAAATTTATGCCAGCAACCTCCACCGGCACTCGCATGTGCTCTTTTACTCAAGCTCACACGGGCAGAGCTCACCTCACTGCTCATTTGCTTCAACTTTCTACCATTTCCCACTTGGCCAAACCTGGTTTGGGGCTGAGGAGCCTTGTGTCCCTCACCTGGGGACCACCCTAGTGCAGTTATCAGCAACACTCACCTTGACCAGGAGATAGGGAGCAGCTTTTGCCCCCTAGCATGAGCCAGGGCCACTGTGCCCTTCTGCCTTTGGGCTCATCTCCCTGACAGCCCAGGCTCACAGAGAGGTTGAGGTTGGAGGAGACCTCTAGAGATCATCTAGTCCAACCCCCCTGCTCCAGCAGGGACACCCAGAGCACGGGACACAGGGCGGCATCCAGGTTTGGATCAAGGAGAAGGCAACAACAAGGAGGTCTCCCCTAGTCCTTAGGGGGCACCGCTCAGCTGCATGTCCTTGCTACACAGGACGGCTGTCAGGGCCCTCAAATCTAACCTGGATTTTGCTTCCGCTCCTAACAAGGCCCTTGTCAAGACTCTTCCAGTGCAGAGCCATCTAAGATGGACCCTCCCCTTGGCTCAGACTAAATTCCACTTGGTGCACCCCAGAAAAGCTACAAGAGAATCTCACCCATGGAGCAGTCACATTTGGGCTATTAGACACAACACAGAGCACAAGGCCTGAATCTCCCATGCTGAAAACACAGATTCCATTTTCACACCTTTTTTTTTTTAATGCTATGTTATTTACTTTTCTTTTACACTTCTAACCATACAATTTTTTTTGGCTTGGAATTGAACAACTTTTTTTTGAAAGCAAGTTTAACTGATAAACTGTCAGCATTAGGTCTAGAACATCATTTCTCCTGGTATCACATTTTAGGATGTATTCACTTCAACTCAGATTTATCTGCTGCAACACCTACTATCAGTATCTACCAATTTTTCTATCACCTTTTGAAAGCTACCTTTCGAAATCTGTCAGCAACCCCCACACACTAAGTTGCTTCCTGGCAAGCAAAACATCTGTTAACAGCATCAAAGGAAATTTAAAATATGAAAGACACTTACTTTCTCTTCCATCTTCTTCTTCTCCTCACTAGATTTGTTTGAGATTTGCTTCAGAAATTCACTGAGCTGCAGCTCCTTATTCTCGGCTGCTGCCACCTTCCGCTCGAGCTCTTCCAGGTGTGACGCTGATCTCTCTGCAAACTGAGGTTGCAACGATGCACTCTCATACTGTGGTGGCTTATGGCAAAAAAAAAAAAAAAAAGGCATAAAATAAATATCACAAAAATACTATTGATTACTGGAGTAACACGTATTTTCTTTTTTCCACTGTCAGGCAGGGTGAGGTTTGATTTTCAGAGAGCACAATTTTCAGGAGCCTTTATTATCTGGAGAAGAAAGAAGCTGGAGGCCTCAGCATGGAGAGCACATGCAGGTGGACACTGGGGCCAACTCCCGCTCAGACTAAGGGGGACAGGGAGTTGTCTTCAAAAGAGGCTAGAAGGGATGCAGCGGCGGGCAAGCAAGGCAGATCTGATTATTAAAAAAATTGTTAAAAAAAGTTAAAAGTTAAAGTTAACCTAAGTAGGCAAATAAACCAAGCAGAACTACTTAGACCCATTATAAATTTCTTAAATTTTTAAAATGACGAATGATGAAAAGAAGCTCCTGTTTTATTTAGAGCGTTTTGTGGGATATTAAGGTATGCACACTAAAATTTCACCTTCTGCAACATTGTTTTAAAATCTTAATCTAGCCTGAATTTAAATATTTTATAGAAGAAATTCTGGAAGCACCAAAAGCCCAAATTCCTGGTCCTACGTGTCTGAGAAAATTCCTAAACACTTAACTTCATCCTGAGGCACCACTTGAGTTTCTCTCCTGCCCCACATGACCCAGAGTCTACCCTGGGGCACAGCTGTGCCCTTCGGAGGCCTTGATGAGCGCTACAGAATCACTACAGAATGGCTGCGGCTGAGGGTGCCTCGGGAGACCATCTAGTCCATCACCACACACACAGGCTAGCTCAGATTCCGGTGCAGCTCTTGTGACAAGATAAAAGGTAACAGAAGAGGGGCAGGTGAAGCATTTCTTCACACATCTCTCACGCACGTTCACTTTCTACACATCCTTTCATACGCTACAGGTATGCCTGGGGGCTCACGTGCACTTGTGTGCAGCAGCGAGGCCAGAGCCAGAGCACTAAGAGAGCTCGCTTGGATCTGCGCTTGGGGGCTGCAGCCTGTGCTGCCCCACCTGGGTATTCGCTGATATTTGTCTTAGCTAGGCTGAAACTAGGACAGACAGGCCCCCAATACCACCTCGTTCCTCCGGGAACGAGATGCTTCCTAGGAGTCCTCAACCACACCCTACTCAGGTGCCTCATGCAAGAGTACTCCAGCAGTGTCCATTTGAGTTGTCACATCTCTTCCATGTATTTTATGGATACTGTGTCCCTAGTATCCTTTAGAAAGTAACTCTCGTCTTCAGAGGACCTTTATCACACATTTTCCAGTACTCCCTTCCTGAAACACTTCCTCTCAAGATCTCCCTGTATGCCCAGGCTACATGCACATTGCTACAATCCCCCATTCCTACCTTATTTTTATTATGTTTCAAAGTTAATTTATTTTAATATTATGTACAGATTTGTCTTCTGCAAACATAAAGTATTTACCTGTGGGATAAACAATTTACAGCACTTCCAGAATACCCTTCTCTATGCAAGCTACAGTCACACAATTGTACACCCAGCAAATAAGGCACAAAAGCTTTGCATTTTGGCCTGCAGAAAACAGCAGATACTCTTTCAGATGCCATTTCCTGGGTTCCTGGGTACAGGAAAACTCCTTTAACAGCAAACAGCCACCTTACCTGCAAGTTTGTCATGTAGGGCTCTTCACAGTTCACAAGATGGCTCAGTCTTGCATGCTGAGCTCGTAATTCATTTTCCCTTATCTTCTGGTGTAAACTGTTAATTTGCTGCTTTTGCCTGTAATATGCAGATTTGAAAGGAAAGGGAAGGGAAGAGATTGGGATAACATAGATCTTAAGATGTATACTTGGGAATATTTTAACTATGCTGTTAACCTGCTTAATCTCCTCCACATTGTCAAATGAACCAGTAACAAATACTACATACATACATATGCATATGTATGTTTGTATATATCTATATAAGAGCATAGTTAGTAAACTGGGTAAAAATATGATTTGAAAAGTGGTTTTTGAAGGAAAGGGAGATTTGGTAATTGTGTCCTCACTTACTCCTGCGGCCAAATGTGCAAGCAGAAAAACGCTTGGGAGCACAAACAAAACACACCATTTTTCTGACTTCTGCTCTGCGCTGTTTCTCTTCATGAGAGCTGACTTCTGGCTTACAAAACAAGGGGAGCAAAAAGAAATTGAGACAAAAAGAGGCACTGCATAAGAAAGAGAGCATGGCTTTCCCATGAGCTCTTTTTACTCCCCTTATGTCCCTTTCAATCAATGCTGTGTGTGCGCAGTCTCCCCAAGCTAGGGCTAAGTGCCAGGGTGGAGACTAAGCCCAAATTAACCCGTTAACCCAGTGGCTGGGGCCGTGCACAGCAGAAGCAGCGCTCCACCACTGTTTAACCCACAGCTGCCCTGGCAGTGGCGGCCGGCAGGGCAGCAAGAGCCGGGCCACGGCTCCAGCCGCAGCGTCGCGGGGACGGGCACGGGGAGCTTGGCTGTGCAAAGAGGAACGGGCACAAACCAACCCCCTGCGCAGCACGAGGTGTCTCTGACCCGTGGGACGCGGCTACTTTCCCAATTAATTTAAAGTTTACTCCTTTAGTTCACTTCCTTGGTGGTTTTTTTTAACTGTCTTTTTTTTATACTAGGAGACATTTGCATGCAAGCATGAAATTGTTTCTCAAAACATCTTTAAACATGTAATATGATTCGCTTTTCTGGAAATTGTGATGCTGAATTGACACGACTAAACCCCAAAACCGAAGAGGTCATAAACAGCAAACACAGGCTAACTTCAAGGAAACACCTGCCTGTGCACAGAGGAGAAAGGTAAATCCTCTCGAAGGAGAGCGCGGGATCAGTATTTGTGGGGCACGCTGTTCTTACAACGAGCATCTTGGAAATTTTATCATGAGACAAACAAAAAATATGAGGCAGAAGAAAAACAGGGAAGCACAAGGTTCCCCTAAAGATGTATGAGCTGAAGAGATGCCAGCTGCAAATTTTAAGACGGGAAAAAATTACTTAAAGGGAGTATCTTTATGTCAATCAAGAATTGAGACTAATGGGAAACCAGTCTAAAACACAATGTGATTCTGTTGTATCTTTACAAAACTCATGGTTGTTCTCCCCCCTCAGTACGGGATTTATTGTATGATGGCTCTACAAACAAAAAGCTACAACTTATCTTAGAAAAAGCAGATGTCAAGATGAGGATGAAGAATATGCTCTTTACTGGTAATAGCTCATATACAGGGAGCACAAGAGCTTGTGCGACTGCGTAAGAAAATATAAAGTGCTGACGAGTTTTGTTGCATGCTTAGCCACAGGCTGCAAAGTCATTTAGTATGAGAAGCCTGTGGTCAAACTCACGTTTCTTTTTTTATCATCTCCCTATTTACTGGTAATATTTGTAATGTCTGGTGACATTGAGCAGATCCAATATCCCTGACAATAACTTTGCTGCATCTGCTTTGCGGCTACTCGTATCTCGAGCAGGCCGCAGGGCTGCCTCCTTGGGCTGCCTCTGCAGCACACTCACAGCGGTTCCAGAGCCTGAACTAAGCATTTTGAAACACTTCCGAACTTCCAGCGATGTTACCGTATTTCCTTCCATAATCCTTCCCCTACCCTAGCAAATCTCTGCAGGAAAGAAGGGAAACAAGGGAATCTGCAGGGAAGCGGCTGGCCCGGAGCGCAGCCACGAAGGTTAACACGCTCCTCCCTCCGTGGACTCGGCCAGCAAAACACACAGGACAAATATTTCCAGCCTCTGGAGATCCTGTGCAGCTTCTTCACATCTCAAAATACGATTAACCTTGCAGTAACCAGGAAAAAGAGACAGAAAGACAGAAAGGAAACAGAGCAGCAGGTACAAGCAAGGCAGGTCCCACAGCTGCGTGCAGTGCCGACGCCGCACCTGCTTCCCCGGGAGGTAATTCCACTCTCAAATTCCCATTTCTTCCCTGCCCGTGAATGAGCATTGCCACTCCACGTCAGCGGCAAAACGAGAGCTACTGCGTGAGCTCGCTGGAAGGGCTCAAATGGTCTCAAATTTCCCTGTTGGACAGAGGATAAAAGCATTTCTGGAGCCTTTCTTGTATTTCCCTTTAGATTCCTGTCCGGCACTTTTCTTCCATTGCCCCCAGGCTTAAAGAGGAGGGGAAAAAAAAAAAAAAAAAAAAAAAAAAAGGAAGGTGATACCCTGCGCTAACTTCAACAACCAACCTATGGCACTCCAAGCGGGATGGAGGCGGGGGGGGGTGGGGGGAAAGAGGATTAAAAAACAGATAAATAAAAACGACTGTTAACTTGTCCAACGCATGAACAAAAAAGACCCTTCTGTGCTGGGCATTTAGGAGCATTCCCTGCTTAAATGGATGCTTCAGAGGAGGATTTCATTAATGAGGAGATGCACAAGCTCCGGCTCCCCGTGCAGCCCATCCCCAGCTGCAGGGGCAGCGCGGAGCGGCTGCTGGTGCCGCATCCTCCCTCCGGCGCTCTCCCAACCGGACCCGTTCCAGTGGGCAACAAGGAAGGTGGAGCCACTACGGTGAAATAACTGGGGGCGGGGGGGAACCACTGATTTTAATTCATCTGTAGTTCTGTGCTTGGCTCAAAACAACCCTTTTTGGGAATTGAATTTTGAAGAGATTTCTTTAAAACCCACATCTGTCCGAAAAGCCCCTCCTCCCTTTAACTTTAAAATTTTGCCTAATTTATGTTTCTTAGGAGGGCTATCCTATAGGTCAAGAAAGAGGTCCCACGGTTTGAACACCTGAAGGACTTCAGAACAGAGCTCCTTCCGCCAGAAAACAGACATCCCGAGCTTCCTAACCAATCAAGGACACTTGCTGCTCACCTTCGAAGATCACGAGCTGCGGAGAAGTTGCTGCTTTAGGTGAAAATGCTTGAACAGATTTCCTCAGAATCAGGATGTAAAGTATAATATAACACGGGTCTTTCCAAAGCACAAATAGCTCTGGTCCACACAATTAGAGGCATCCTGCTTTGTTTAGTGACTGAAGAAGCTGGATACTAGTTTTCAGACCTCTTTGTTTTAAAGGTATAACCTCTTGGGAGACATATCCCAATGTGCAAAGCACTGATAGGGAGAGAGATTAGTCCTAAAAACAATGCAGATACATTGTCCATAGCTCCGAAGATAAAACGGCCAAGGAATGACGCTATCACTGAAGCTGGGGACTGAAAATGGCCTCAGATTTCTTATGCAGGAAGTCTATTCATTCATTTATTTATTTATTCGAAGGCACTTTAAAGCTCTGCGGTTCAAAGCAGATGTTTCCTTCCTACCAGTGGCAGGAGCAGCTCATCCCGAGCAGCGGGGCGGCGCAGGGAGGCCAGGCGGCAGCACGGCCAGCACCTGCAGCGGGCTCCAGCGAAAGCTTTGTGCTACTCAGGCAAGCAGGGAGCGAGGAAGCGGGGGTGCAGACACCAGGGCCTGCTCGGGCAGCAGGGTGCGTTAAGCAGAGCGTCTCCAGCAGGTCGAGGGAGGGGATCATCCCCCTATATACAGCCCTGGTGAGGCCACATCTGGAGACTGTGTCCAGTTCTGGGCTGCCCAGGACAAGAGGGATGTGGAGCTGCTGGAGAGAGTCCAGCGCAGGGCTACCAGGATGATCAGGGGCCTGGAACATCTGCCCTATGAGCAAAGGCTGAGAGAGCTGGGTCTGTTCAGCCTGGAGAAGAGGAGGCTGAGGGGGGACCTGACCAGTGTGTATAAATACCTCAAGGGAGGCAGTGAGGAGGAGGGGGCGGCCTCTTTTCAGGGGTGGCCAGCGACAGGACTAGAGGAAACGGCCACAAGCTGAGGCACCAAAAGTTCCATGGGAACTTAAGGAAACACTTCTTAACAGTGAGGGTGACAGAGCCCTGGAACAGGCTGCCCAGGGAGGTTGTGGAGTCTCCTTCTCTGGAGATCTTTAAAACCCGCTTGGATGCCGCCCTGTGCCCCGTGCTCTAGGTGACCCTGCGTGTGCAGAGGGGTTGGACTCGATGACCTCTGAGGTCCCTTCCAACCTTCGGCATTCTGTGATTCTATGAGTCTCTATGAGTCTCCCTCTGCAGGGGTTTCAGCAACAAGCCTGCATTTCCCTCACTGCTCTTCATCGCTGTCCAAAGCAAGAGCTTCCCAAAACAAAGCACAGAATAAGGAAATCGGCGGAAGCGAAGGCACCTGCGGAGGGAGCGACGTGGGATGGCAGCAGCTCCGGAGGGAGCAGCGCGGGGCGGCCGCTGGCCACAGGCCAGGCCGGCCGGGCGGCGAGAGCGGCGCCCACGGCACAGGCGGCTGCACGGAGCGCCGCGGCCTCAGCTCTCCACTTGGGCGCCCAGGAAAGGTGGAAATCACTCGGAGAGTGGCCAAAGAACAGCTAAAGCCACCAGAGGTCTAGAAAATACGACCCATGAGGAAGGGCTGAGACGTATTAGGAAAAGTTTTCCTATGTTTAAGCCAATAAATCAGCAAGCCATCCAACCCAGGAAGCCGGCAGAACATCTGTTATCGGAGGCTTTACGGACAGGCTACACGAGCACCTACGAGCAATGAGGAGCTCTAGCTCATCCGCCCTTCGCCCTGGCACACAGATTAGACAGGGCCTTTCCAGCCTGCCCTCTTCCATCATAGCCAAGGCTTGGGCTCTTACACAAAAATCTAATGAAAGATTGTTAACGGTTTCCATTTCACTGACATTAGTTGTATTCACCTATGAGAAGCTGAACCTACAAAGCTGCTAAAATAATTACCCTATAGCAGAGCCATCCTGAAAGTTTGCTAGCTCAAGATACAAAAACCTCAAGCACAAATTAGCAATGTTAAGAGCAACACATGCTTTTCAAGGCATTACTGTGAGCAAACGGTATTTCCCACCCTGAGAGGGTTTCTTACAGCCTTACTGCCTGCACAGGACCCTTTTTCTATGTACTCATTCCTATCCAAGGTGGCATGAAACTTTTAGTATGACTTCCTATGTTGCTCAACCAGATACAGGAATGTTGAAGATTTTGACACGACATCCCCAAAATCGAGAGAACTGCAGCTGTGCCTCAGCAGCAACATGAGGATTATCAAAATACACAGAGTCTGATACCAACAAATCAGGACAGGGCAATTTGACAAAAGGCCAAGGAAATTAACTGTCCAAACGAAAACACCCAAGCAAAATTCCTCTAGGTAGAGTGATTTAGAAACTGTTTTAAGAATTGAAAAATTATTATGCCCTGAGGAATAAACGCTATTGACTAAAACCATAAACTTTTCTATCTACCTTTCCTTAAAAAGCAGTGTGAGCAGCCGTACGCCGTCTGGAAGAGAGCCCCGTGTTATTCCCGGCAGCTGATGTCATCTGGTCAGATATTTGGCATTTATGCACCAGCCTCCCAAGCAGGCAGTGCCAGGCCCTCACTGGGCACAGCCACATGCCCAGCCGGTCTCATGGATGTTCCCAGCCTCTCCCAACGCCCTCATTTCGGCGTTGCTGCTGTCCTGGACAGAGCAGCGACACCGAGAATTGCAAATGTGGCTCTACAATGTACTAAACCAACACAAACACTGCTGGCTCCCTCTGCTGCTAAATATAAAGCAGTGTTACATACTAAACTCCTCAAGCAGCAAGGCAATGAAATAATCCCATTATTTTGTACAGTGGGTGCCTGACACGCTAGTAACGAGGCTCACAGGTGCAGGTTCCTGTTTCAGCCAAATCCCAATCCATGCTTGCAGCCTGCGCGCCCGGCTCGCCCCTCGGCGGGCGCTGGGTTAGGTGCTGTGCCCGGGTGCATGCCATGGGTAAAGCTTCCCGCCTCGCACCACGGCTTCCCTCTGTGAGAACAGGGTCAGGAGCCCATCTTTTAGGCGCAAGCTTAAGAACAGTCCCCATCCCTTGCGGGTTCATTTGGCAGGGATCCCGAGAGCAGCTTTATCCAGTAAAACAGAACCGCTCTTTCACCCACCCCTTTAAGTTGCTCTGTCATCTGTGTTTGAAATAAGCAACTACCTAAGTCAGACCATTTTTAACCCATCTATTAGCAAATCTGACACTCAACAGAGTGTATGCAGTAAAAAAGAAGCTACTCACTGTATTCTACAAATACAAATATCTTTTTTGTTTTGCTTTATTGTATTCACGGTTTTCAGGTTCCAAGGACACAAAAGCTACCCAAGTGTGTCAACCAAGGATTATTCCTCATGTCTTTTTAACATGGCTCTGAAAGTGGCTTGTAGCTATTCCAAACTGTCAGGGGGCAGATGTGAAGCAAGGAAGCTCAGCAATCTGATCCGGAAGGGCTGGACTTTTGATGCATTTTTAGTCAGAGTGTGGAAAAGAAGGGAGGCAGCAGGTTTCTGCTTTGCTTTCCCTCCTCCTCCCCTCAGCTTCACAATTAAATAAATAGGTAAACAAGGCAGACGAGCTCAAGGAGATCGCTCTATGCTGTGGACCTGTGGCTGCGCAGGACAATGTGTGCCCTGGAGTGACATTAACCCCTTCCACCTCCCGGACACCTGGAGCCCTCGTGCCCCACGCAGCAACAGGAGAGGGTTTTAGCCTCAAAACACTCGGTAAGGACCCTGCAGCTGCAGCTGGTGACAAGAGCAAGATACGGGTGTTTCCAGGGTATTTCTTCTCATTCTGCTTTCCTTCATGCCTGTTGAGAGCAGAGAGTGGGGCCCGGGGCCCCCTCCGGGGACAGTCACAGGGAGCAGCTCCTCCATCTTCCCGACTCTCCCGAGTTTCTTTCCTCTCCAGGTTTAAACCAGCCTGCCAACCACCTCCACCTGCCCCCTTGTAAATTCAACCTCAGACACGATTTCAATAAACTGGAAGTTTAACTGAAAGTCCCTCCATCAGACGGGACACTTCGACATTAAGGGATATTTCAGCAAAACATCCATTACCAGAACCTTACCCAACAACACAACAGCTCCTCTTCTTCCTCAAGCACGGACCTTGCAGTTTAAATACCATCTCCTTGAACGAAAGCCAGCCAAACTCTACCACTGCTAGGCTTTTATATATTTATTTTAGGCCACTATCCCCAAGTCAGATTGTGAAAAATTCCCTGAAGGGAGGCTCAAGTGGACAAAGATGAGAAGCCAGAAGGCCTACATCTAAATCTCCTTAACCTCCAGTGTCATGGCTTGTGTCCCAGTGACTTAGCTGTAAACCCTGGACAACATGAAGTTCTTGCTCAGTGCCCTGAAGGAAGATATCATTGATGTTTAAATAATATATCAAATGTAATGATAAATATAATACAAATACAATATAACACTAGGGCTATACAATAGTGCTCTATTCCTAGGTTTAGGCAGCAACTGTATTTTATTTTCTCCATGACTGGAACCAATTTTTACTTGTTGTAGAAGACCATGCCCTCTTTTTTAAAAAATACCATGACAGAAAATCTGTTGCAGAAATCTTTCTAAATATGCAACATCATTTTGTGTTTAATTTAAAGCCCCACTAAAACCTGCTAATTTAAAACCTCACAAGTAACCCACTTAAGACAGATTTAATTTCTTTTTCAAATCATTACTTTGTAGGCAACGGTTTTGCCAAAGTGGGAGCTCTCTATTCACAAAAGAGCCTTTTCAGTGGTGTATGGTTCGACTGCATTACTGTAATTTACAATGTGTTTAATGCTGACATGGATGGTGCCAGCTTAAGCCAATGAATGTACGATCACCCACTGGCCCTTACGCACTTGAACAACTTCCCAAACGCATTCTGGCTTTTCAGTCGAATAAAAAGGAATCACCTTGACTGCATCCTGCAAGAAACCCAGAGCAAACCATGAAGGAACTAACACCTTGCCCCAGGTATCAGGGAATCGCCTTCCGTCCCGCGCACGGACATTATCAAGCCACGCTGGCAGGAATCTGCCGGCAAGCTATCCCTTCAGCCAAGCACAACTTCCCCTGTGGCTGGAAACACATTTTCCAGGTGGGACGAACAAGGTGAGCGCAGGTTCCAGCGGCCAGGGCGCAGGAGGCCTTCCTGGGAAGGCTGGCGCCGGGGCGGCCGTGGCCGTCACACGCAGCGGTCCCCGAGTGCTGCGGCGTCCCGGGGACACGGGCAGCCCATGGGAGCTGCCCAGAGGGCCCCGAGAGAGCTGCCCTGCACCGGCTGCGGTCGCTCATCCCTCTGGGAAAGGTCCATCCGTGCGGCAGGGAGGACACCGGGCCCGCCTCCGGCCACCGCACGGGTGAGCGTGGCGAAGCCCCCTCTGCTCAGCTCTGCTCTGCTGCAGGGCGGAGAGCTCCTGGTTATTCATAACCTGAGCCCTGTTGTTCCTACGTGCTCCAGGTGTTCCTGATGGAGCAGGGGGGGTTGCACTAGATGATCCATAGAGGTCCCTTCCAACCTCAGCCACTCTGTGATTATTCACCACGTGTAGGGCCGAGGACTCCAGGTCACGTCTCCAAAGCTACCTATAAACCCAGCACAGGCTGGATTTTGAACTGGCACGTTATCTGTTCTTCTTTCAATTTAGCAAAGACCCAAGTTTTTGCATTCTGTGGTGATCAGGACGGCCAAGAGATGGCACAGACCAATGAAACAGATTGTACACAGGCATAATCCTCCTGATCCCAAAGAAAATGACACCCAAGTTATCCACTCCCACCCATTAAATGAGAAGACCTATTAGACAGGACTGTAAAAACCTTACAGCAGATGCCTGCCGTTCCTGTGATTAACACAGCTGCTTTACACAGGGCTCCTCAGGCTGTGGAGCAGAGCAGCAGTAAGAGGGCACAGCTATTTTGAGAGGAGAGCAGCCACTTCTCTTCTAGCCACGAGCCAAGAGCTTATTATTAAAACATAGACTAAGCCAAACTATAATCATGTCAATTATAGAAACATCCCTCTTAAATGTCCTAATATCCTCTTAAGTGTGCTCATGCAGCTCCCAGTGACAACGTTAGCGTAAGTTCTCTATTAAAAAAACAAAAAACAATGCAAAATCAGCACATATTTCGCTCATCAAGGCTTCATTTCTTCTGAATATCAAGAACTCCAGAAATTACTCCAAATGTACCAGAAAATTCCAGCTGTGAGTTGCTGCCATGACCTCCTTCAGACTGACAGAAACTGTAAGAGGGTTTGGGTTTGCCACTGAACAAGCTGCTCATTATGAGCACTGCAGAAGGACTCTCCTGTTGGCGTGTTTCTCAAAGGCAACGTTTTCTAAGCTTTACCAACTGGTCTCCAATAGTCTTACTATAGACTTGCAAATAGTAAGACTCCTACTTACAAGACCTTGCAAGTCTTACTGCCTTGCAAGGACCAAGTCCCACATACTGGTGTGTAAATATTTGCTGGCCGGGAACCTAACCATTCTCCTCAATCAAGTTCTCCTAAAAGTCATTTGAACACCACAGCTTGTAGGTCTGGTCGGTGCAGGGGGAGGTTACTCACCGGTCGATGACAATCTCCTTCTGCCTCAGCAGCCCTTCTTTTATCTTCATTAGGGACTCCCAGTTGCTGAAGTCCTGGTAGCTGGCAGCTGGGTAGCTCTGCCGAGATGTTCCAGTCAGCACCTGCACCAAATAAGTGCACAATTCATTTCCGAAACAGTAACGGTTAACAGTGCTCCAAACATCATGGAATTGGAATTCACAAAGCAGTTTGTTGTGTCAGGAATGCAGCAATGTTGCGTCAGGAATGCAGCAACTTATCCAGTGTTGCTTTATTTAAAACAAGTTTATTTGAAGAAGCAAAATGTATTTAAGCAAACTCTAGTCCAGCCACAGCGCTTAAAAAAATACCATTTTTCTAGAAATGATTTCATAGCTCTGCAAGCCACTTGAGATTAAAAGCTCATGCAGGATTCCAATTCTTTACAGATGCAAACACCACTAACTGCTCAGGCCCTGCTACAATTTCTTTTTAGTTCTCCTCAAGAAGCTTTCCATTCATCTTCCCATAACCCAGGCTGCGTCCCACTGCGAACTGATCTAAGATTACATCCAAGTTGAGCACGATCCAGCAACAACAGGCTTTAGATGGAAAGTAAGCAACAAACCAGGAAGTTTAGCCGGGAATATGGCCTGCAAAATGTATCCAGAAGTGCTATTTTGCATGTGAAAGAAAACTGCGCTGCAACAGCCAGTTCCACTATAGAGCATCACTTCATAAAAATGCATTTGTACAGTAACAAAGTCTTCTAACTACAGGGACTGTTGATGTCTAACGCTGCCTGGCAGGAAGGCTGCTGGGTCTCTTCCCAGTAGGTTTTCAGAGCAGGCTAAACATCTGTTTAGAGTAACACATATAAAGGCAGGACCAGATTCCTTCCCCTTTGAAGGCCTTTCTGGTCTCATTTTCCTAGTGTCACCTTTTCACTGACTTCTACCAAAGCTGCAGGAAGGGCCACCCTGTGTGGGCTCTGGCCTAATTGTAGCCCCCAGCATCTTCAGCCCTTCAGCCCCCTCTTCTTCTTCTTTTTTTTTTTTTCCCTTTAATTTCTAAGGGTTTCTGTTGTACAAGATTGAGAGCACTCACAAACTGTTGATGTTTTACATGTGAAGAGCATGATGTTTTGTTCAGACACCAAAAGGAAAATTGTTAAGTCAGAAAACCCTCTCACTCAGCTAAAATCACATCAGCAACCCCCAGAATGACCAGATGCCTGGATTTTTCAAGTTTTATACACAGAAGAACAGGAATACTGTCCCACAGTCCTGGTTCTTTTTCAAGTTGGTTATTGAGGCAGAGCTTTTCCAACTCATCTTCAGGTCTCAGAGGAGGGAGAAAAAGACGAGGGATAAGAGCTCCGGAGCCACCACGAGCACAGCAGGTAAGTGGGACACCAGTTATTTCTCTACAGAGAAGCTACGTGGGGGAAGGCACATGGTGCTGGGATCCTGCAGGCTGAAACAAGTGCCACGGCACACCATCCCATCTTCACCAGTGTCTCTAACCACAGCAAGAAACATTCCTCTTGTGTCTTCACTATCTATGGCACATCCTGGCCTCATTTTGCTCTTTCATGTTTTTGGAGGAGGAGAAGGGGGTGAAAATATGACTAAATCTGTTTTTAAAAAACTGAGAGACATTTTAAGACAGAACATTTCTACTTGCATCTGTATGCGAAGTTCTAGATTGCACCTGAAATTACAATGACCTACACGAAGAACTCCATTAACTGCTACGCTCGCTCAAGGAAGTTATATTGAAGGTGGCACAGCACTTTTCCTGGAAAGTGAGGAATGCCAAGGGCAAAGTGCTACTTGGATTAAGGTCTACAACAGAACTGTTGACCGCTGAGATTCATTTCAGAGTCTCCTGCTTTATTTTTCATGCAGGACGATCAATATTAACAGCATCACAAAATCCTCATTTGGTGATATCACCCTGAGTTGTTTTGGTTTGGAAAGTCATCTAATAAAACTTATAAAAGACACAAAGTGGTGATTGTTCTGGTACGTAATGTGTGTGCAGAGCATTGAAGGCTCTCTGGATCTAAAATTAATCTCCATGTAGTCTTACAGAATACCTTAGACTCGTCACACACTGCTCTGTATTAGAGTTATCCATGTCACTGGGTGAAGTAGAGCACAAAACTACTGCAGTGAAAGCCTCCCTCACTCACATGTGTCAGGCCGTGCAGCAAAGTCACACCAGAGCTACCACCACACTTCATACCATAAAAATTTCCCCTTCCTGATTCTCCCACCATAGCACTAAAAACTTTTTTATGTTCAATTCAATATCCTTGTCTACGGTCAAAAAAGAGAAAAGAAACAGTCCTAAATCCAGCTGGACTAGATACTTATTTTTCCTTGCTTCCCAGAGCCAGGAATTCCACCTCTAAACAAAGAGCTCAACTGTTCCACGTGATGAACAACAAATATATATATTTTTAAAGCCAAATCTTCCCACTTACTGGAAAAGGTCAGTTTTGTCTTTGGGACTATACTACAAAAATGAACTTCCTTCGTAAAAGCAAGTAGAGTGAGAACACAGAGAGGTGAAGATTAAAGACAACTACGTAATTATGAATCCATCTGATCTGAAAACATTTTGGAGGCTGCCAGTGGTTTCTCTAGCAAAATTCTTCAAAGAAAGCCCATTACTTAAATTGAGCTGATGTGCAAACTTAACAGATTGCACCAAATTAAAAAGACCCTTCAAATTCAGCACTACGAATGATTATGCAAGAAGTCAATGACATATTAAGGCCGATAAAAAGCAAAATGTTCTGCAAAGTTAAGAATTTTGACAATCAGATGTTAACGGGTTTAAAAAAATAACTATAGTATATATGGTGTGCTCAGCTGGCTGCCCCACATGTTTTGGGCTTTGGAATATATCCAACCTTACAGAGTACATACATGTTGCATATACACACGCAACACAACTCACACAGCATCATTTTGTGCTTCCTCTATTAGCTGCGTGCTTCAATTTATCACTGCAAACAGACAAAATAAAAAAATGTTTCTGTTATCACGTTTCAGCAATTAAAAAAAAAAAAGAGCTAAAAATACTTCTCAGCAGTGCCCAGAATAACAAGACTCTTCACTCACTGGTGCGCGTGTTGACTACTCCCCGCTGCTTGTGAGATGCTTTGAGTGGCCTGGTGACACACGGGTGTTCACTCATAGCAGGCAACGTGGGCTCCTTAGGACACCAGGCTGCGGAGGGAGGGCCGGGAACATCCTGAGGACTCGAGCACGGAGAGGCACCCTCAGCCCCAAGCACTCAGCCACCGGCAGTGCCCTCGGGAACATGCGGCAGGCCCTTCTTTCCGTCCCAGGAGACACGGCTGTTTTTGCTGCCTGACACCTCTCGAGCTTGGGCAGAGAACATCTGCTCCGCTAAAGCGGCATCCTTGGCACCCTAGTGTCCAAAGGTCCTCACTAGCTTGGGTTTTTTTTGACAAGGGCTGGGCCTTGGCTTTGAGGACCTGGCAGGTCTTCAAGGCGCTGCTGAGACACAGCCTGCAGCTGGGAATGGCTGCTCTTTGCTGCACCAGCCCACACCACCAGCAAGTGCTCACTGCTGGAACACATGCTGCTCAGGGATTCCATCATCCTTCTTAGCAGTGGGAAAATAGTTTTCTCCAGACCACACATAACAACATCTGGATAATCTAGGCCAGTAATGGCTGGGATTTTAACTATGCTCATTTTAATTATCTTCTCCAAAACGGTTCAAGTCAGAAGTCATGCACAGAGTAGCAGAATGTGTCACACAACAGGCTGTAGCACACAGTAAATGTGAAGTTCCACCCAAACAGACGGCTAATGTCAAAAATACAGAGATTCTCAAATACGTATTCTCAATACTTCAGCACTGCCTCTCCTCCAGTGGGTCAGTTCCCACAGCTCATTACTAACAGCTAGCAAGAAGCCAAAATAACAGAAAGTTATGCCAAGTAAACGATCCCTTTGGACCAAATGTTTGATGGCACTCGTGCAATCCCAAGAGATACTTTGTATTGAGCTTTCTCCTCCCTGCAAATTTTCAGGATTAGTTGAGAATTATCTCCAAAGCAAAGCGAGGAATCATTGCTACAGAAAGATGCTGTGCCTTGCAGAAAGAACAAACAGCCACAGTGCAGCATTATATCATATTCACAGATGGGTCCAAAATGGACTGGGGACCCATCAGTGAAATTCTGACTTGTGGTCCATGTGCGACTGTGGAGTAGCTGGTCTCCAGAAGCTCCTTCCCACCACAACCGGTCTGCAACACTGGTGTAAAATGCAGATTTTACCACCTCTGGCTTACTGCTGCACTCGAGCACGAGAGTGTTTGTGCTCAGCAGAGCATCATCAGTCACATCCCTCGTAGCAGCGCTCGGGCTGCCCCTTGTTCTGCTGCACTCCTGCAAATCTCAATCGGTTGTGGGGGCGAGAACACCCAGTGACACCCTGGTACCCTCTGGCAGCGGTGTCAGTGGGGTTCTCTGGGGACTTCTTAACAAGGAGAGGGGAATAATTAAAATCAAAATTGAGACATCGGGAAAAAAATGTGAGGTACTAAAAACCACAGAAGTGTCCTTGAAAGGTTAACATTATCAACAGAAAGCACTGAAAGGTAGCATGAGAGAAAGAAGGCATCAAAATCAGCAAAACTCGGGGAAAATTCAAGAACACAATCCAAATTTAATATAGATACATAAGCTGAAAAGAAATTAGCATGTGATACATCACATAGTACCAGGGAGAAAGAGCTTAATATTCATTAACAATTTAATCTGCATGAAAATTTGCTTAATGTATGTCTGGATCGCCTGTATGTGTCAGGTCACAGAAAGAGGCAGAGAGAGAAGGAATACCCAGCTGCAGTAATGTGTTCAGCTCTGGGCACTATTCCACCAGAAAACCATCAAAATTAGCAGGACATATTCAAAAAGAGCAAGGGAATGATTAAGAAGCTTAGAAAGGCTAACTTATGAAGAAGTGTTTGAAGACCTAAATATCATGGACAAAGGCTGAAGAGAAATGAAATCTGCCACCAAATACTTTCTATTTCTTAGGCTGAAAGTATGCAGACAACCAAATTTGATGGAGCGATATTTGAGATATGA